CTGTTAGTCCGTTTCCTTATTTCCATCTTTCTTTCTTGGCTTTGCTGTTCTGTAGCTTCGATTTTTCCTTGTTTGTCTGTAATCTTGTCCGATATTGGCAAAATCGATAGTTTAGTAATTGGACGCTTCATATAACCATTTTTAGTTTTTAAAGTTACTACCCTGACGAGTCCATCCTTTCCTGGGTGGACCTCTACCACCCGACCAACTGGCCATTTTCCGGCAGGCATGTTGTCATCATGAATAGTAACCATGTTTCCTATCTCTATATTCTTTTGTTCCCTGAACCACTTGCTACGCATCGATAGTTGGCTAAGATATTCGGTTTTCCAGCGTTTCCATATATCTTGGAACGTTTTGTTCACCAAATACCATCTTGTCCTCGCATCTTGTGCTGTTTCTATGACAGTAAGACCCGCACGGCTAGTTAAAAAATGTGCTGGTGTAAGAAAATCAATGTCCTCTATGTCTTCTGACATTGAACACAGTGGTCTTGAGTTAAGGCTCGCTTCAATTTGAGACAGAATAGTAGAATATTCTTCGAATGTTAAGGCTTGATCTCCAATTACTCTTTTCATATGTTGCTTAAGACTTCTGATTGATCGCTCCCAGATCCCTCCAGCACTCGGCCAAGATGGACAATTCCAATGCCATTCTATGTTTAGTTCTGCTATTTCTTTATAAAAGCTGTCGCTAAAAATGTTCTCAAAATGTTGTTGCTCTTCTTGAAGTATCTTATTGGCTCCCACAAAGTTAGTTCCATTATCAGAATATATATGCTTTGGAGTTCCTCGTCGAGCCGAGAAGCGACGTAAAGCAGCTAAGAACGATAAACTGCTGAGGTCGGAAACTAACTCTATGTGTACTGCTTTCGTAACCATGCAAACAAACAGGGCAACGTATCCTTTAGAGGTTTTGATTCCTCTCCCTTTGTTTGATTTTACTTTAATAGATCCTGTGTAGTCTATTCCAGTATGATAAAATGGAGGAGCTGGATTAGTCCTAAAATCAGGCAGTTGTCCCATTATTTGGTGAAGTCGTTTGGGTTCTTGTTTTTTGCAGGTCACGCAATTACGAAGTTGTTTCTTGGTAGCTCTATTTCCCTTGATTATCCAATATTGTTGTCTCAACAAAGACAAGGTTAGTCGAGCCCCCCCATGAAAGGTATTTTCATGTGCTTGCTGGATAAGGAGCTCCGTCAGTCGTCCGTTATAAGGGATGATCATAGGATATTTCATGTCAGTGCTAATATTTGCATTTTTAAGACGTCCTCCGACTCTTAAAATGCCGCTGTCGTCTAGAAATGGATTCAGATTTAATAGCTTGCTATCGCAACTGAGTCGGTTATGCAATAAATCGTCGATATCCGATGCAAATTCCTTGCGCTGTATGTGTTTAATTATAACTAATTTTGCTTTCTTCAGTTCTTGTAACGTGAGATATGTTGGCCTTTGTTTAATTGTCGGTGCAAGTGCACGCAATAACCATGCTACTATGCGATTTATTTTTATGAAGGAACTATAGCGATTCAAAAAATCTTCGATAAGGCTATTTCCAGAGCATTTATTTTGAATGGTGAGGACTTGTTTCCGTATTTCTTCCTCCGTCGTAAACTTTGTTTGATCCTGTTGCGACTTGAACTCACATGTGTTTAACCAGGCTGGTCCTTGCCACCACAATGTATGCTCCTTTAATTGTGTAGCTGATAGTCCTCTGCTTGCTGAATCCGCTGGATTTTCCTTTGTTGACACGTAACGCCAAACGTCAGGTGGCAATATGCTAGTTATTTTCTTAACTCTATTTGCTACGAATGGCTTCCATCGATCTGGGTTGCCTTGTATCCAGCTAATGGTAACCTTTGAGTCACTCCAAGCGATGATTTCGTGATTTATATTTACTAAGCTAGAGACTATTTTTTCTAACAATCTGGTTAAAAGCTCCGCTCCGCAAAGTTCCAATCTCGGTAGCGAAACTGTCTTGCTGTTTGGTACTAATCTAGTTTTTGCTGCTACTAGTACCACTGAAACCTTATCTCCTGTCAATATTCTGGCATATACAACAGATGCGTATGCTTTTATGGACGCATCACAAAAGCCGTGTAATTGGAAAATATCTCCGCGCTTGCTTTTTAACCAACGAGGTATTTTAAACTGGCTGATACACTCCATGTCTTCAGTTAACTTGATCCATTCGTTTTTAATTTCTGCCGAGACTTCATCACTCCACTGAATTTCATCCAGCCAAACCTTTTGAAACAGTAATTTGAATTTAGTCGTCAGCGGTGCTAGCCAACCTAAGGGATCGAATAGCCTTGATATTTCTGACAGGAGTTTTCTTTTCGTAAGCCTTGTGGTATCTGCTGATGCTGAGTTATTTTGAAAGGAAAATTCATCTGTTGTAGGATCCCATCTTAAACCTAAAGTTTTTGCTGTTTCCTCCGTTATAAAAATGAAGGATGTTGCTTGAATATTTTGGTGTGATGAATTTATACCTTCCATTAATCTCTTATCGTTTCCTGACCATTTTCTAAGTAGAAATCCTCCGCTTTTTAGACACGAATTTAATTCTGCTATAATTCTTTTTCCTTCATCGATAGAATCTGACCCCGAAACTAAATCGTCCATGTAAAAATCTTCCCGAATTATTTTAGCTGCGTTGGGGAAGTTATGCTGCTCAT